TATATACATCTCCCTTTCAAGAAGGAAATCCTAAAGGCACAGGAGCAGGCTGTACCCATGTGCTGAACAGAGAGCCTTGTCTGAATTCAGGAAAAAAAAAAGGCAAGTTTATCACCTTTGGAAGAAAGGGAGAGTCACTTGTGTGAGCTATAAGGATGCCATGGGCTAAAGCCCAACCAGAATTAATCTGGTTGCTGCTGTAAAAAACAATATAAAATGTTTCTGTAAATACACTGGCAACAAAAGGGAGGCAAAGGAGGACCTCCCCCTTTGTTGGCTGTGGGGGGAAAGCATGGTGACAGGATGAGAAAAGGTTCAGGGCATCCAATGCCTTCTTGCCTCAGTCTTTCATAGTAAGACCAGCTGTTATGCAGCTTAGCCCCCTGAGATGGAAGATGGGCAGGGAACAGAATGAAGCCCTCATAATCCAAGGGGAAATGACCACAAAAGTCTATGGGATGGATGGGATCTACCAAAGGATACTGAGGGTCCTGGTAGGAGTGCTCACTGGGCCACTTTCCATCATTTACACACCTCTGTATGGAGAGGTCCCAGGTGGCTGCTTTTTAGCCAGTCCAGAAGAGCCACAAGGTGCATCCAGGGAGCTACAGGCCTGTCAGCCTGACCTCAGAGCCAGGGAAGGTCATGGAGCAGGTCATCCTGGGTGCCATCATGCAGCACATCTGAGTAACCAGGGGATCAGCCAGGGGTTCAGAAAAGGCAGGTTCTGCTTGAAAAACTTGACCTCCTCTGCCAAGGTGACCCACTGATGAGGGATGAGGGAAAGGTTGTAGCTGTTGTCTGTCTGTCTGGAGTGCAGGAAAGACCTTGAAGCTGTTTCCCACAGCATTCTGCTGGAGAAACTGGCTGCTCATGGCTTGGATGAATATTGTGTCCAGCAGGAGCAGGGCAGGGATTGTCCCCTGGGCTGGGCACTGGTGAGGTCACACCGCCAGTGCCGTGTCCAGTTCTGGGCCCCTCAGTTGAGAAGGGACATTGAGGAGCTGGAGCAAGTCCAGAGAAGGGAAATGGGAGCTGGTGGAGGGGCTGGAGCACAAGTCCTGTAAGGACAAGCTGATGGTGTTCAGCCTGGAGAGAAGGAGGCTGAGGAGGAGCAGATCTCTTTTTATTACTGCCTGAAAGAAGGATGGAGCAAGGTGAGGGCTGATCTCCCAAACAACCAGTGATAGGGCAAGAGGAAATGGCCCTAAAGTAACCCAGGGGAGGTTTAGATTGAAAATTAGGGAAAATTTCTTCACTGGAAGTGTTATCAAGCACTGGAATGAACTCCCCATGGATGTGCTTGAGTCACCATCCCTGGAGGTATTTAAAGGCTATGTAGAAATGGCACTTAAAGACAGGATTAAGTGATGGACCTGGCAGTGTTGGGTTAATGGTTGGACCTGATGGTGTTAAAGTCTTTTCCAACCTAAATGATTCTATGATTCTATAAGTATCAGGGTCTGAGACAGTTTACCAGGTACTTTTGCTAAATTAGAGAGATCTGGGGGAAATCACACAAGTAAGGTCTCTTACACTTCAGCAAATCTTTAGTGTATTTAATGACCTGAAAAATAGTTATAAAAGCAGGACAAGACAGGACTGTTAAATGCTAGAAGAAATTATGTGTTAATGAACATAAAGCAGTACATGTGAGGAGGTAAAGGGAACTGAAACACAATTTCTTTCTTCACATGTATAGTGAGCTCTACATTATGTATTATCAGTCATGGAAAAGATTCTGAAATCAAAATAAGTGTATTTTCAGAAAGGTAAAGCTGAAACAGCTCTCTGGAAAAAAACTCTACTAAAAATATTTTAAGAGCTCTTGGAAAATAGGGACTGTAAAAACAAAAATGTTTCAAATGTATAAATTTACCTGAATCTTTTATATTTTGTCCTGTTTTCCTCATGACATTTTGGGACATAGGGAAATTGAAAAATGCTTTTTTAAAAGGTGGGAAGAGTAAGTGAATGATCAGAGGGCTGAAATACTGTCTATAGGGGGACAGACTGGATAAACTGAGTTTCTATATCATGAAAATAAAATAACCTAGAGAAGATAGGGTACAGCAAACAAAATAATGAATTTCATGAAGAGGGTGAACACAGAACCATAATTTCATTTCCACTATCTCTTAGAATATAGCAAGTAAAGTATTTGTGTTCATATCTCCAGGCAGCAAGTTTAAAATAAACAATAAGAAATACTTTTTTCATATTAAAAAAATAAACAACGTGAGACATTGCCACTAGATGTTGCAAAGGCCAAAAGTTTAACTGAGTTCAGAAAGGGATTAATGGCTACTTTTGTTTCATGAATTGTAAAAACATCCTACTCAGACACAACTTCTGGCTGAGGAAGTTCCTAAACCACTAATTGCCAGAAGATGGGAAGGAGGGGTTGCTCAGCTCTTGCCATACTTCTTATAATCTTTCCTTATGCATCTCCTAATGGGCATGTTGGGACCAGGATAATGGGCTAAACAGAGTTTGTTTGGTTTTTTTGCCTGAACCATTATGGTTGTTTTTATTTTGTAGGCGTAGGATATTTTTTTCAGTAATGGGGTGACAAAATGGAAATTTCTAACTTGTTTTTTGAGCTCAGTAAATGCCATCTGGAATATGATTCTTAATAGCTAATTAGGGATGATCACACTTTATTGCTTTCCTCATTTTAATATGTAAAAAAATTAGTCTACAAATTCACCTGCAGAATGCTTAAGAAAGTTTTCTCCACATGCAGTGAGATTTGGATGAAGGTGAATCATTTATGTGTTTCATTTGAGTGATAATGATGTGTCTCTAATTTAAAGGACAATGTGTCAGAAAAGCTAACAGTAAGCAGGGGGAGTTTTCTGTGGTCCTCTAGAAGGAGATGAATGATACCATTTTTTGCTCTTGTCAGTAAAGGAATATTAAGTTTCAGTGAAAAAATATCCTACATTCTACATTGTACTTCTGGCAATTAGTAGGAACAGAAGCAAACAAGGAGAATTTCTTTAACATCTATTTTTTTTTTCCTTGAGCAATTCCTATTACTTCTTTTTTTCCTCCTTAGAGTGAAGAAGGGCTTTTTGGGACTAAAGAAATATGAATTACTTTTTTTCCTGTTGTTTTTGTTTTGTTTTGTTTTTCTCTCACTAACTTTCTATTCTAGCTTTTTGTCCATGTGAATTTATAATGTAGAAGTTTATTTCTACTTACTATACAGAAATTTAATTAATCATCACAGTGCACTTTGTAAATGAAAGATACATTACTCTGTGTCAAATGAGTTTACCCTCTTCTGCATGCAAACTATGCATATTGTTATAAATCATGGTCTCAAACTTCTAAAGTTGTTGTTTTTGTTTATTAGGAAACCTTGCTTCAGATCCAAAAAGGCAATAAGGAGACTACACATAGCAAGAAGAAAGTGGGCCTCAATCGATCATGAAATGCAATTACACAATATTCAGAGCTGAGTGAAATAAAGACCTTAAATAGCAGTAGCCTGTAAAGTTCAAAATTAAAAGTAGTTTCATCATATATTGTGAAAAGGGAGATTGGATCAATGAAACTGATCTCTTGTATCTTGTTTGCTGTCAATTTACATGAAACGATACTTGAGGTGAGCCTCCTTTTCCTGTATATGTAAATACATTTTGTTTATTTATGGAATATTACTGGAGTGGTCTGGCAGGAGATATCTTGAGTTCAGCTGGTGCTCACAGTATAAATGGAAGCACAAGATTTGAAAAAGGCTTCCACCTGGTCCTCCTTAGCTTAGCTAATGTGATTGCAGATTTTATTCTAGCAGGAAGGCTTTATATAACAGCAGAGAATGTTACTGCTGAGTTGCAATAAATCAGTATCTAAATTAAAAGAATAGGGACTTTCTTTTTGCCCTTTCTAGTATAGTATTATAAAATCTGCACTTGTATCCAGAAGGTAGACAACAATTTACTATGACTAATCTATCACATTAACTGTAGGATACCAATAGAAGTTTGAAAAATTAGTTAAATCCATTTTCTCTTGCTTTCATTTAATCTAATCTCTTCTTTACCTTTTATTTTCAATTCTTTGGAAAATTTTAGTATGGTTCGGGTGAGGATTAATATATTTTTATTAGGATTTGGGTGCCTTATAAGAAAAAAATGTAGGCATCTTCATCTTGAGACTCTATGAAATTTGTGATCCCTCAAGAAATGAGCTCCGAATCAGTGCAACTTCTGCCTCAGGTACCACATTTTACTGTCTGGAGGGTGCAAAGGCACAAAATGCAGGTTCACTGCCCTTGTGTCAGGGTACACTTGTCAAGGAGTTTTTCAGCCTTGCTGGTTCACATCATGTTTGCTGTCGTGTAAAAAATGCGCTTTGGAAGTCAGTGTGCAAAATGGACAGAGAACAATGAGAAATAAGGGGGAAGGTAAAGGTCTGGTCAGGATGTAGAATCCAGCTCCAGTTTCAGGGATTATGACATAGAACAAATATTGCAGTATTGTTCACTGTCTTGGTTTGGCTGCATAAATTTGGAAGGGCTTTGTAGAGATGCTGCAAGGTAAAATTTTATTTTAAGCACTTGATAGGCCAAGTGTCTAGGAAAATCTGATAGTCCCATAAACAACAAGCAAACACACCTCTAACTTTGCTCCTTCTCCCATATAAAACTCTGAATGTACAAGAAACATTTTCCCCAAAAAACATAACCAAAACCTCTTTTTACTTATCTCTTATACCCACTGATTTTTCAGACATAATTTTATAGTGGGGTATTTGGTACAAAAGTGATTAGAAATCCAGAACTCGCTTTTGGAATAAAGGAAGCACTTTGTCACTGTGTTACTGCAAGCAAGTTGTTTGTTCAATTATTTGCCTTTGGTCAATCAATTGCAACCTAGTAGTGAGTGGTGTGTGGTTACAGCTGGATACCACTAGCTGTATGGTGCTGCTGGTGGTTATTCTAAGGTTGTTTTGCTTTACCTCATTTTCCCCTCTCTTTCTCTGCCTTTCAGCATGCACCTAATCCAGGTGGACTCTGTTCAGCGATGGATGGAAGACCTGAAGCTGATGACAGACTGCGAATGTATGTGCATTCTCCAGTCCAAGCCCATCAGCATTGAGAAAGATGAACAAAATGAACTCATCCTCTCCTCACAGTACAGCACTTGTGATAACTTGCAGCTCCTGCTAAAGAGGGCTTGGATCATCAGCACCGAGCTGACGAGGATTGCTCAGAAGCTGGAGAAGAACAGGTGGCAGAGGGTCCACAGCATGACAGTGAGAGTCAACTGCCACGTGCATTCCATGATAAATGAGTACAACACCTTCACCAGGAGCTCTTCAGAAGAAATGCACCAGGTGAGAGGATGCCTTCTCTGATGTCACACTTCTCTCTCTGAATTTTTATTTTATTGGGATAATTAAAATTCCTTTAAACAATCTGTAAGAAATGCTTACATACTGATACTGGTCCATTGTTTAAGACTTTCCAATCCCTTTTCAGCAATTGAAATCTTCTTGACTCACTTTGTATTCTATTTTATCATAGGCTATTCTGAATGTTAATAATGTTGACAACTTTTCATGGAAAAAATATTTTGCTTTTGAAGACTACAGAACTAAAGTATTTTGACACCCCATCTGTGAGTTCCTTTGCATTTAAGATGTAGAAAATGCTACTTTTTTTTTGTAAACCTCAATTTTATCTCTACCAGTTTTATTCAGAAAAGTAGATGAAGGGTGCTCACATGAAATATGTTTTGAGAGAGTTTTCAATTAACAAACAAGGATTGTCTATTTTTGTAAAGCAATTGTGTGTATGGATAGAACTTTAAAACCACTTTCTCTTGCTCTCTCTACAGCTCGAAAAACTCTTAATAGACAAGTGTTCAGAATTTACAACATTCACAGAAAGGTAACTTGAATTTTATAGTTAAAATACTAATTTTGCTGTTTTATTGTGTTATAGAACACCTAATGAGAAGCACAAATCCATAGGCACCCCCTCAATTGTTTGAACTAGGCTTCTGTAACTCTGCAAGGCTTTCTAAATGTTAATCTCTGGTGGACGAAGTGAGTTGCTTTTACCTGAAATACATCCTAATGAAAGATGGGATCTGCTGTTGCACAAAGAGTCTAACACGGATGCAAAGTTACACACAAGTGGATTTTTCAGGACTTTTAGACATCAAAGGAAAAATTCTGGCTGTGACAGATATTGGTGACAAAGTTCCTTTCTAGTTCTGTGGAATCAGGATTTCAGGTGGTGTGAAAACTTGGATTTTGAGACTAAGTGTTCCTGTATGAACATATCCACATATTGTAAATCAAACCGAAGTAAATACACTTTCCTTTAAACTGTGGTTGTAGGTTTACTCATCTCCCTGCACTCTGGAATGCTGAGACTGGAAAATAAAAATCTCTGTAATTCTTCTCATGCTATTTCCACTTTCTAATATAAGTTACCCATTTCCTCCAGCGCAGTTCAATCACTCTTTTGGTTTACTTTAAACATTGTGCAAGTCATTCTGTTTTGGGGATATCATCAGGGAAAAAAACACCATCTAATTATCAGGAAATAACATTTTTTTTGAGCACTATTGCTTTGTGCCAAACCCACAGAGCTCACATTTGTATTTTATATTTTACTGTAAGACACATGGATTTAATAATGAGCTGCAATCTCAAAGTATCTGGCCTAAATCAGCCCTCTCCCTTCTTGTCTTTTTTGACAAAAAATTGATATAGGTGTCTGACAGGTAAAGCTGAAAAGGTGACCTGTGTGCAGGTAGAGGCTGATCACCCAAACTATATCTTCCATTACAGTGGCCTGCCAGAGTGGAAGATGTTTTGACAATACAAATGAATGTGTTGCTGTGAGGAAGTATTTTTTATTTCATTTGAATTGTATAAAGTTTTCTATATTTATCTCATTTCTTCAATTACAGCCAAATATCACTGGTTACAAGATGATTGTAATAACTCTGTAAAGGTGCTTTATGTATCTTTCTGTAGAGAGGACCAAATTTTACTTTTGATTATGCTGTTTAAGTCATCCGGGCACAAATGTCTTTCTTCATCCTTATCCTGCTATCATTAAACTATGACAAAGAAGGTAAATAAATGAAAATTACTGAAATATTGATTATGAAAGATGGGTGGATATGCACAGATGCAGTTGAAATGCAGGCACCCAAGAGCAAAATTATCAGCATACAAGGCAAAGAGCAGTGCTGCACTGTATAAACACACAATATCTGCAACAAAATTTGGCCTGCAGTCGATGAGGTAAATTGTGATACCAAAATTATTCAGTAGTGTCCATCCTTTCATGGTGTATTTACTCTGTGTAGACAAAGCTTTGATTGAAGTCTGGAATGATGCTAATGACACAAAGTCCTTGTGAACAGCTGAATTCCAGTTATATCCTGTGATTAACATGGGGCTCACCTCTGACGATCAGGTCTTTTGAATCTTTTTTTCCTTCATCCTTTTCCCATCTTTGTCTTTTCAGGTGCTTACAGACTGAAGATGAAGAGATACTGAAGTCCATGAAATCTTGTGTTAACGAAACACTCACGACCGTGGCCCAATATTTTGGCCAGTTGTTAGAGCTGGTTTTAACGCAAGAAGCACAGGTTAGTTTGTAGTTAAAAAAGCTCCAAACCAAAAACGTCCTATCTTGAGGGCAACAAGCCATTAAAGATCCAAGGGTGGGTTGGTTGGGGATTCTCAAGAACCTGATCTAGTGGAAGGAGTCCCTGCTCATGGCAGGGAGATGGCAACTAAATGATTTTAGAGGCCCCTTCCAACCCAAGCCATTCTATAATTCTGTGATTAAGAGGAGGATTAGCATTACAGCTCTTACTTTTCAACAAATTAATGATCAGTTAACTCAAATATGTTACAAAGATATTTAGGTGTTCATATTCTCAAATAACCTCAAATCCCAAATAAAATTATCTTTTGGCTCACCATATTACTTATTTTTCCTGATGTCTCTTTCTTGCAAGGCATCTAAATGATGGCTTCTGATTGTCCCTTCCAGCCTTACCCATTCTGTGATTCTGATTCTGTGACATACACTAAGTAATTATTTTGAGGCTGCAAATGCATGAGTTTTTTCTCATTAGATCACTATTGAAATAATAGCAACTTGCTAGCCAACCTCTTGTCCTTCCTTCCTTCCTTCCTTCCTTCCTTCCTTCCTTCCTCCCTTCCTTCCTCCCTTCCTTCCTCCCTTCCTTCCTCCCTTCCTTCCTCCCTTCCTTCCTCCCTTCCTTCCTCCCTTCCTTCCTNTTAACATGGGGCTCACCTCTGACGATCAGGTCTTTTGAATCTTTTTTTCCTTCATCCTTTTCCCATCTTTGTCTTTTCAGGTGCTTACAGACTGAAGATGAAGAGATACTGAAGTCCATGAAATCTTGTGTTAACGAAACACTCACGACCGTGGCCCAATATTTTGGCCAGTTGTTAGAGCTGGTTTTAACGCAAGAAGCACAGGTTAGTTTGTAGTTAAAAAAGCTCCAAACCAAAAACGTCCTATCTTGAGGGCAACAAGCCATTAAAGATCCAAGGGTGGGTTGGTTGGGGATTCTCAAGAACCTGATCTAGTGGAAGGAGTCCCTGCTCATGGCAGGGAGATGGCAACTAAATGATTTTAGAGGCCCCTTCCAACCCAAGCCATTCTATAATTCTGTGATTAAGAGGAGGATTAGCATTACAGCTCTTACTTTTCAACAAATTAATGATCAGTTAACTCAAATATGTTACAAAGATATTTAGGTGTTCATATTCTCAAATAACCTCAAATCCCAAATAAAATTATCTTTTGGCTCACCATATTACTTATTTTTCCTGATGTCTCTTTCTTGCAAGGCATCTAAATGATGGCTTCTGATTGTCCCTTCCAGCCTTACCCATTCTGTGATTCTGATTCTGTGACATACACTAAGTAATTATTTTGAGGCTGAAAATGCATGAGTTTTTTCCCATTAGATCACTATTGAAATAATAGCAACTTGCTAGCCAACCTCTTGCCCTTCCTTCCTTCCTTCCTTCCTCCCTCCCTCCCTCCCTCCCTCCCTCCCTCCCTCATATAAACCTCAAATATGATTCTGCTCAAATAATTTGCCCATGTTTTAGAGGTGATGTTATGCAGAGATTTTGTGTTGTTGCAGCAGAAAAAGATGAAAGGAGAAGCTTAGTGAACAAAAATAGTTAAAAAGTATTTATTACAGTGACAAAACAAAATTAAAGCATGCTATTGGTTAAACTCTAACATACCCTGATGTATTAAGATAGCAAAAAAAAAAAAAGAAGGGTGGTTTCAGAAAAATCCCTTCTAGTTTTAAAGTGTTACTGCCAGGAGGTGAGACTATCCCAAATATATTTGCAGAATTACAGTCAAACTAACAAGCTACCTTCTTATGCTCTTTGGTTGGGATTTATGAGAGCTCCATGAAATGTATGTGTTGAAGTGTGTAAATAATTTTGCATATTTCAAATTCAGTGAGTAGATTACCATTGTTAAGATTTTTATTCTTTTTTGTATGAAGGGCAGTTCTTCACTGCTGGTATTTCTGCCTTTTGGCACCTACTGATGCCCCTGAAATCTTACTCCCTTTTTCTTTTCAGGGAGTGGAATTATTGATGCCACATCATCTTGCATGTATTTGTGTGACTGAAGGATGTAGAGCTCATTAATAAAAATTATTTTATGAACAATTCTCTGAGCCATTCAGTCAGGCTCTGTGCCCACTTCTGCCATAAAACCACAATGTCTGGGAATAGTTGCTGCTCTGAAGCAGACTAAGTGTCTGTGTGAGAGATTTCAGCTTAAATTGTGTAAAGAGCCTTTTTTTCTAATCAGTGTATCAGGATTTAATTCAGGATAGGTTCATTTCAAATTGTGAACTCTTAAGGTATGTCTTTTATGGAGCATTTTTCTAATGCATTGTTATGGAGCATTTTTCTAATGCTAAAGGTGGAAGAACCTCTTAAAGGCAAGGTAATTGAATTTTGTATAAATAACAGTGTAAAACATGGGATGCTTCCTTGCATTTCTTTCAAAGTTGGATTAAATACAAAAATGCTTACCTTCCTTCTCCTAGGAAATAGAATTAATTACTCTAGTGATTCTGTGTCTTTTTTCAGAAACATGAAATGAAATAGACCATGTTCTTTTCACAGCTGTGCTTTTCTAAAGCTGCAATGACACAAATGCAAAAGAAAGGCAATTATTTACAAAAATTAAAAAAATATTTAATCTATTTCCTACATTGCAGGAATAAACTATATTTCTTTATAAGAATGTCTATTTGTCAGTGACATTTTGACTGAGTCGTGATGAACCCGGAGCCTTAGAAGGTAGTGTAAGAGAGGCTGTAGCAATATTGCTTATAAATAAGGTGTAAATCTTGTACCCATGTGATTCAGCTTCTACACCAACTAAATTGGTTGCCTTCTGAAAATTCTGGTTCAATCCCAGACAAACACAATAACTAAATATTATTAATATTTACTAAATAGCTAGAGTGTTTCATACCACATGTAATCACGTACCCACTCTCTTACCCTGTTAAAATTTATTTTTAAATCTCCCTGTCCTTGGTTCCATCTACTCAAATGCAATGCTAAATGTGTGTTGTCAGTCTGACTCCCCCACTTTTTGTCCTGTATCCCAGAGCCTGCTGAGGCAGATAGAGCTCTCGGGCAGCCTGTACGTCACGGAGTCGGCCATCAGTGGTTTATTCAGCCTCGCCCAGGAAGGAGCTCACCTCTGCCGCATCATAGCCAAGGTAAGGGATGCATGGAGTGATCCAAAGCACACTAGCAATACAAGAAACTCATGTCACTAAAGAGAAACAAAATTTATTCAGAGAAATGACTTTTTTCTCTTCTTGTGGTGCTTTTGCAAGTTCTCTACAGAGTTTAACATCACAACTATTGGATTCAAGGTTTTTTGTTTTTTTTTCTGAAGAGGATCACATCCCCTGTATTTTTAATTTAATAATGCCCAATACCTGTGTAAGCAGCTTCAGCAGGGTGGTCAGCTCCAACAGGCATTGCTCTCAGCATTACTTCAGTTGCAGTTGTCTTTGTGCCATCTAAGGTATTATCACTCCATAATTTTGGGAACTTTTTTTAATGTCTCTCCTGCCAGTACTTTTTAAATACCAGTCATGTAAATGGAGAGAAACTTTACAATGGACTGTGGCAGACTGTGCAGGGAAACAGCAAGACTGTATGTACAGCTGTATGTACAGGAGGGTTAGAGATATTACTGAAGATGTAAATTTATAAAGTGCATTAATTATTTTCCTTTTACAAAAGACCCATCATTGCATTTACTTCTGTCAGTGTGTGTTCTCATTTACTGAGTAGTTGGTGCTAACTTTTGGTATAAATGAGTCATTCTGTCAAGATCCATGATACTGGAAATCCCTGCAGAGTTTGCACCTTTGAGGACACTTGGATCTTGAAGAAGTGAGAACTGTGGGACATGGTGTCTTGTTGAGGATAGGATAATCACAACCACAGGGCATGCAGAAAGAGGAAAATCTCCCTCCCCCAGCTACTGCTTGTAGAGTGCTGTGCCAGTTCCTGTCCCACTCAGAGGCAGGGTTAGACAGCAGCATTGAATTACTTCTGAAGTGCCTTGAGATGGATATTTACACCATAAAAGGTACTCCTCTATTCTGAAGGTTGAGAACAAGCCAGACTCAGAAACCTGTAGTGGATTCTGTCAACAGCCTGAGAGGTTTAGTTTTTTCTAAATTGGTATTTGAGCTCCACTCAGTGGTACCCAAAAACAATGTTAAAATGCTGAGTATTGAGGTAGCGCAGAATTAACAAAGTACAGAAAATTGGTCTTGGGCTTTTTATAATTTTACAACTTCCATAACAGCTTAACTTAGCAGAAGGGAAGTCTGACTTTTCATAAATCACTTAGTTAATATATTGCTAAAACTTGGGTGTGTCACAGGTTTACAACTGAGGAAATGCATCCCCTTGTGCAAAGAACCCTAAATGGTGTTTGGCTGCCAAATTACAGTGGTGATTGCATCACCTGTCCCGTGCCTCTGCCTGCCCTGTGCACTGGGAAATGCATTTGTCAAGACTGACCATTATCCTTCACCCTCTGCACTGCCTCAGTTACCTGCACCAGTGACCAAGGGGGCAGAGGAACTGTAATAACAGATCAGAATTTCAAATGGGTAAAGAGCTCTGTTCAGACAAAGGAACTTAACAGCACTGAGCTTTGCTTGCTTTGGAGGTTAACTGGCACCTTTCCAAAAGCTCCCAATATGAATAAAATATGCTTTTATTTATTGCTTGCAGACTTTTTGGAGTTTGCAGTTTTTGACCAAATAACACATAAATGTTGCTTGTGCTGTCATTCAAGTTTCATTTGTGTCAGGTTTTACAATCTCTGAAGCAGAAAGGAAGAGGAGGAGCACTGGTTCAAGTTAGCTGTGACGTGAATAACCTACGACAGTAAAATTTCAGGGTAATTTCCAAACAAAAAAAATAAACATCAACAACAACAAAATCTGAAATTGTTCTCAGTCATTATGAGGGTGAAAAAGGATTGAAGTTATTGAAAGATCTCAAAATCTTTTATAGAATCCATAGTTCCCTCAAGATCTGTCATAGTATCCTTGATAAAATCTAGCCAGAGAGATTGATTATTTGTTTACCATGAAAGCAAAATTCAACAAATTTGTCCATGTAATCTTTGTAATTTGTCTTACTCTCCATGACAAAGTGTGATCTTGTGGAACACTGCTGTTAGGTTTTTTTTCCTGTCCCAAGCTATAGGGTACAACTCTAAAGCACACCAATCTTGTAGGTGCAAAAAAAAAACCAAAAACAAAAAACCAACCAAAAAACCAAGATAGTGTTGTAAAGCTACAATATTATTGTAGCTGGTCTCTCATTTTACAGTTTGGTAAGAGTTTCAGTCATTTCTCTCTTTCTTCCCCATCCCCTGCCAATATTTTACAGAAATTGAAAAAGGCTACCAAACACTCCCCTCTATGATGAAGCATCACACATAATTTTATTCCACCTACAGGCATTCTTTGACAGTTTCTTTTTCAGCATGTAGCTTTGCAAGCTGCTGTGAAAAAATCATGTTGCTGACTCACCCTGGGAGCTAGTAGTAGATCTCACTAGCTGTCAGAGACATAAAACCTAAGGTCCCTAACAAAAATGAGTAGTAACATGGACAAGATAAGAAAATTAGCATTACTTGGAGCAAACAAGTTATAAATATATTTAGATTTGTAAAAACCAGGAGACTTGGTGAAAATCTGTTTGCAAGTTACAATAAATAGGTCATAGAATGATAAAGAATATAGAATTAAAAAAAAATCATTTTACTGATGATAGAGTCCAATGCCAACTGTACTGAACAGAGTGCTGTGATAATAGGCTTGTAAAAGAGAAAGGAACAAAAATGAAGATATTCATACCTCATAACAGCCCCCCCTGGAGAATATTTGACTGTTGGAATTCGTTATGGACATACAGCAGACCACTTGCTGTGAGAAGATTCTAATGCATTTTGCCTTACCTTCTTTATATGCCAACTTCTTTTCTAGCAACTATTTATGATGAAGATCTCTTTAGAGATCATCTCTCAAGATAATTGTAAATGTTCTCAAAGCCTTGATGAGTATTTACTGCACTTGTCATTTCAGGCTGGAACCACAAAATATTGTACCTTAGAATTAATTGTCTTTTTGCTTCCCCTCTTTATTCACTCAATCCACATAGTTTTGGTGATTGTATTTCAGGTGATTTCATTACCTAAAACTAGCCCTTCTGAGCAGCATCCCACAAAATTGAATTCCTGTTAATCCAATATAGGAGAGAAGTAGCTCATCAGTAGTAAAGCAAATGTCCCTCTCCTCCTCTGAATGTTTACCCACTTGACCAATTTATCTATGTCCCTGTCAGATGGAGTGGTTTGGCATCATTGCAAAAGATACAGGGGATGAATCTTGAAAAAGGTGAATAAATTCTGACAAAGGCTCTGATCCCAGTGAGGGGACTGGTTTTGACAAGCCATGGAATCAGTCTCAGTATTTTCTACCCATCCAATATTTCACTCACAGATCTCTCAGTTCATTACTCATGGTCAATATTTTACAGCTTAGTAATGGCACATGAGGCACAAAATAAAGAGTACAGATCTCCTCCTGACAAATGCAGTGATAAATCACTTCCTGTCCATCAAAGTAAAAATCAGGGCACCCATTTGGCACAGAAAAGGCTTAAAGCAATATGCTGACATCTCTTCAACATTACTAGATTTGTCCACAAACTGCAGCTTATTATGGCTAAAACAGAGGATCAGATCATCCCTGATTAAATTGAACTGGGGGAAAATTCAAATTGATAATGAAGTTTAAGCAAAAAAACCCAACAAAACTGTTACCTTTGGCTTAGGAATGACATAAATATTTTTCAAATATTTTTCGCTATATTTTTAATAAATAATTTAATTACTGCTTAGATGAAATATCAGTATCCTTTTGTGAAAGGAAAAACATGACTGAAACTTTTCTGTTAGTGTACTGCCTCTTTTTTTAATTTAAAGGCTCAGAAATATCTTTCTGCATTAGGCTATATATGGCAGTACTAGATATAAAATAACAGACACATGAATGCTTCTTACAATTCTAGAAATACATTTTACTCCTAAAAAATTTCAGTGAGCCTATTGTTTACACTGATGCCATAGAAATTCCATATATCTGTGCAAAGATATGATCTAAAACTTCTATCTGAAAAATACACTGAAGAGTTAATTTTATCTAATTCTATATGACTTGGTATAAATTTTTTGCTAAACTGAACAGAGGGCTTTGCTTCCTCTACTATTCTCTACTGTATTCAAGAAAAAACTAGTACAAAAATATAGAATTCTGAAAATGAATAAAGTCTGAATTGTAGCCCAGGGTTTTAAGTCAGTATAACCTGTTGAGCTTTCAAATAATGAGAAGAAAATGGCTGAGAAAAAAATAGATTATTTCTGTGAATCTAAAAATATTTTTAAACAGACTCTAATGAAACAGGCTTTAAAAAAGGCTGTACTTTTCACTTGGTCCCTGATTTCAACTATTTTTAATTTATGCTGTAATCTGAACACTTTAAGCTGAGTACTTTCACTTGTCATCAATAATTTAAATGCTTTCATCTTCATCATATGTCTGATCCTACATCATAAAAGACACATGTAGTCTACCTGATAGCACAAAATTTTGAAATGAAAAATAATTTAAAAAACGTCACGAAATACAATATTGTTGGCATTTATTTATATATTTACGTTTGTTATATGAAATTTGCTGAAACATATATTTACAAGCTGTTTTGAAAATGAATTAAGGATAGCTTCCCCAATATGTACTCAAGTCTTTGCCACTATAGTATTTAAAGAAAAACTTTTAGGAATGAAGATTTTATTTGTCAGAAGATGAAGATTTGGATTGTATATGTTTAGACTTTGACACCTATTTCCACCTGATTTTCAGTACCTCTTCAAACACATGACCTTCCTGTTCATAATTTTAGGATTAATTAAATTCTGTGTGGAGCTCAGAAACGTAGATGAACAGGAAATACATAGTATCAAAAATCTGTTTTATACTAATAATATGACTGAATGGTCAGTTAAATGTCACTCTAATGGCCACCTATTGATGGCTCTTTCTAATTTTTGCAGGAATGTCAGGTTTAATTTAAACAGAGCTTGTAACTGGTAGGAGTCAATCACTAAAGCAAACCTCCTACTGAGGTTGTATTACTTTTTCATCACTTAGTGTACAAGCATTAATCCACTTGAGTTCTCTGTGTGAGCTTAACACCCTCTTTGTTGGTGTTGTTACGATAGCTGTTTTTGGATAAACTACTAAAGGAATCTGCTCTCCATCCCAACCTTGATTAAATACTAGGGAAACCTCTAGTGCTGCTGTCCTGATGGGTGTTTTTCCCTACAGGAAGGAGGTGTTGTTGCTCTCTTTAAGATCTGTCGCCAGGATTGTTTCAGGTGCCTTTATCCCCAGGCCCTGAGAACGCTGGCATCAATTTGCTGCGTAGAGGAAGGGATGCACCAGCTGGAGAAGGTAGGCACTCCTGGCTTCCTTACTGATTGTGTCATAAAATAGAGAAGCTCTGTCTTTAATCTGTTCCAGAAATTGATGATTTGGTGGTGTTTGATACTGTGTTCCATACTATGCTCACCTTTTCTGTGCTGAATGCATCTTCATCTTCAAAAAATTAGTCTCAGCAATAGCATTATCCTATAATCCTTGCACAAATATGCTTTATAAGTGGGAATAATTTTGTAAAACAGGTAAACATCTTAGCAACTACATCAAAAAAGGAGAACAAAAACTAGAGAAATTATGTTTTCTGGAGTTTCTAAGGCATTTAGAAACTCTGCTGTTTCAAATTGTTCTTAACAGACAGAAGGCTTTATACCTCTTTAAATCCTTTCCTGATGGTCTGATAGGGCTCCAGCTTGTGGCAGGAGCTTGTGAGAGTTGTAGTTGCACAGAAAGAAGTGGGGCAGATGTAGTCATTAGTCAATCAAAAAATGTCTACTAATCAGCAGCAGCTTTCATAAAGCCACTTTTAACTGCAATGGCCAACATCAAAACATTATCCAGAGAAAATTATATCAACTTCTTAGGCTCCTTTCCTTTCTGACATTCACTACATACTGCTATGTTTTGGAAAATGAACACTTCTGGTCACTAAATCATGATCTCATCCTTTGTATTTCATAAAAGAGTCATCTTCCTCAGCTGAATAATGGCCTCTTGAAGTTAATGATAAATGATTTCACTGCCTCTTTATACTGACATGTCTTGTAATTTACTTCCCTGAATTCAAGCAAACTGTGACAGAACACCTGCAGCAAAAAGCAAATCTCTGAGTTTACAGTAAATGAAGATGACTTAAATTTTTTTTTTTGACATCATGTTGGTTCAGACTAACACCAGAATCAGTCTGAAAGTATCTTTCATTATGTCCATTATAATGGTGCAGTTAATAGAGTTAGAAATGAAAAAGATTGATTTAAGTCACCAGGTCCAATCCCTGGCAGCATCAACATGTGTTTAATGTGGTCCACGTCACGGCTGAGGGAACAGGAATCCCATAAAAAGTGAACACTCTCCAGCTCATGTTTCTTTGATCTGATTTAATGTTAGCCACAAGTAAAATTGTTCAGGGTAAGCTTGATCACAATCATGACTGGAGAACGGTTTAAAGGATTTTTAACTGAAATCCCCACCTTCAAGGGCTTTCAATTCTTAAATCATTGTATTTAAATATGAATAGGTTTTTTTCTTTCAAAATTTGAAGTACTCTTCTGAAGAACTTAGAAGAGTTAAAAGTATTAGCAATCCTATAACTACAGAAGTTATCATAGGACTTCTTATGTGGCAGAAAGGGTGGCTAATCATTTCCAACAAAGTATCTGGGTGCTGGTGAATAATTTAATTTCTCTAGCATGAATATCATTATGCCACCTAGTGCATTAAAATATCAGTGCAATTTGAACTGGGTTTTTAATGACAGAAACCTCACTTTAAAAAACACAAGCTTGGCTACTGAGCAATTCAAATTAGGCAAATCAAGAAAAAAAACCAAACAAACAAACAAAAAAAACCCCTCTGCAAACCTTCCCCCCTGTATTTTTTAATTAGATTGCACAGCCATTGCAGTGGTTAAAAGACCATCTAAAAGAAAGTAGCAAGTGATATAATTTCTTATGAAAACCTTATCTGAGATGTGAACTAAAAGGGGGTGGTACACTTTCTGCAGTAATTGCAGTGCTTAATTACTAAAGACATTAGCAATATTACTTATTTATCCAATGCTCTTTGATCTTGCTATTTCAGTGCTCATTTCTAAAGATGTAGAAAATTGCCTATTTTAATAAAAAATTATTTAATTTTTTTAAAAACAATTATTGTTCTTCCCAGTGACATGTCTGTAAATATATCACACTGGAAAAAGCCATTGCCACCTTTTTTTATCAGCTTGATAAACAATAATTGCAGCAATAAGATAGTTGTTGCAGTGATTAACTTTTCCTCTTGTAGGTGGATCTAGTTGGGTCTGTGCACAATGATATAAAATCACTTGTTTAAAATGTGGGTTTGGAGCAATTATTTCATTTGCAAGTACTTTGCTGAATTTTGATAATATACTAGTACTCTTACTTTGCTGTACATTGAAGTGCAGAGCTCCAGGAACTCAAGAGTGACAAATTAGGCAATTAAAGTAGAAAAATGGTGAAGAAATAGTCTCAATGTGTGCCTGAGGACTGCATAAATAAATGTTCTCTGTAAGCTGTGCTCAACAAGTGGTAATTTTTGTGCTTCAAGGTACTTCAAGCTACTTGTGGGTGTCTGGTTGTTTGATGCACTTTAATTTTGTAATCCAGTGTGACACCAGCAGAAATTATTATTTGAGATCCTTATTTCTGACCAGACCTACTTTAGAGTGGAGTGGTGAGACCCTGGAAAAGCAACCAGAACATATTATTCCTAATATTCCTATATTCCCATAGGAATATTCCCATAGGAATATTCCCATTCCCATATCTCTTTGTCCCTGTACCCAAGAGAATTTTGTCATCTGTGTCTTGTGGCGCTCAAGCATTTTTAGGGGAAAGCTCACTGCACCAGAAAACTTTTTTTTTCTTGATGTGAGAATCTCAGAGTTTATACAGACACAATAAGTAATACAGGTAGCTGGGAATAGAGAAAATAGATAAAATCCCTAAACCCCAAACTTTAAGGAGTTTGTGAGAGCTGAGCATGACTGCAGCTGAAGAACAATGTTAGTGCTGCACATGCAGACAGACCTGCTGGTGTGCTCTACTCTGAGGTTTAAGACAGAAATGCAGTGATGTAGTGGGAGATTGGTTCTTGAGAATTGTTGAGGGTTCTGGAGAGAAGAATATCTGCACCTTCATGAATGTGTTTTGCAAATTTAATTCACCTCAGTGTAGCAAGGAGGGTTGGAGGCACAGAGTTGGGATAGATTATTGGGTGTATTTAGTGACACTTAAGGTTCAGAAAAAGTAAAAATTGTGATCTTGGTGACCTACATCTTGCAAATTGCCTTAGGAATAACTGTACTGCAAGTAATGCTTTCATTATGAAGACAGACACAAAATCTAACAGATCTGGTTTTAAACATGGAGCACCCTTGCCTGGAAATGGGGTTTGCGTTTAGAAATTTTTTTTGCTAAAGCAATTCTTCAGGCCTTACCCCTCTGAGCATACATTTGATCCTTGTTTTGCAGAGCTGTCTGAACAAAATGCCTCCCACACCTTTGGTGACATGTAGCCTCAGTAAAGTTTAAAAACTGTGGCAATTTCTCTGCTTCAGGGTTTTTTTTTTGTACAAAAGGTGGTGATGGTGCTACTAAAAGGCATGGCTTTCCAATTTTTTCCCTAGTAAAGCTCAGTTGTGAAGTTTTTCACTGAGGCTTCTGTGGCAATAAACTTCCTGTTGCAATAAATAACTGCAGAGCTGGTTCAGAAATAAATAACAAACAGTGCAATGTACTGCATTTTTTTTACTGTGCATGTGAAATGTTATCACATTAAAAAGATGCAGCTTAGGTGTGACCTAGGTCAAGGGTTAACTGCCAGAAAAATAGGATGATTATACAAACAGCTAGCTGCCTAAATTTTAAGTGTGCTGAGTATGGTTGCTTACATTATTTAAATTATTCCAGAAAGACAGACACCTGGAATTAGCTCATTAAGAGGAGATAATCCAGAGACAACTGTTGACAACAGCTTCTGCTTTCATTAGTAAACCCTTTTTAACAAATGACACAGTTTTTATCACTGTGCTTTAACCAAAATTGCCCAGGAATAGATTACAAATTACTTTGAATCCTTCATTTAAAGCACACTAAATCAAATAACCTCTAGAAGAAGAAGGGTAAGGAAATTATGAAGTGTACACTATTTGTGGCTGGGACTACATATGAATTTTACGAAGACTTCTAAAACATGAGTGACCAAAAAAATCTATTAGTCATTTTGAACCCAGTCTGGGCCTTAGAATAACCATATTCTTATACACAGTAATAATTTCTGCATGATGGTAATGCAGTTTATCCACAATATTGCTGAAAAAATCTCAACTTTTCTGGGGAATGAAGTAAAATGTATATTTTACTACAACTACTACAACTTATTCATAGTTTTTGGGTGCGTGTGTTTTGATTACTTAATTCAGCCCTAACCACTTTGCACTTTCAGTTTCAAACATTAACCTCAATTAAAATCATGGAGTAGCTTTGTCTCAGGTGAAGTCTCAGCTCCTAAAGCCACTGAAGCACATGTGACTGTAGGGTGAGACAGAAATGAGATCTCTGTATTAGGAAGAATTTCCTCACCATGAGAGTGGTAGAGCACCAGAAGAGGTTTCCCAGGGAAGCTGTGGCTGTCCCAATCCTGGAAGTGTTCAAGGCCAGATTAGATGAAGCTTTGAGCAGCCTGGTCTAATGGAAGATGTTCCTGCCTATGGCAGGGGTGTTGGAAATTGATGATCTTTAAGATCCCTTCCAACCCAAACTATTCTATGAATTATGGAGAGGGATTTGATTATGTGAGCTTGTATGGTAAGAAGGTAAAGTCACTAATTCAAAGGCTGAATGTAAAAGTTAGCTATTGGCCCATGGATTTCATTGTCACAGCATGGGAATGCTGCACAGTTGTGAATCTTTTACTTTTCATAGTACTGGTATACAGTGGGAGTAACTTTGTACAATGCAAGAGGTGGAAAATGTTCCCAATTTATTGAATTATATAGCTGCCTTCATAGTTTGTTATTCCAATTGCAGAATGACATGGGACATTTTTAATAATACTCTTCTAGAAAATGTATGTGAGTCTGCCAGTTTAGGTAGGTAACTGCCTTTAAAAGCATGTCTGCAGGTTGTTTGCTTCTTTTAAGTGGAAGTTTTTTGAGAAATAGGGAAATGTTGATTTTTATTGTGGGAAATGGTGGCTTATTTACAGGACTTGCAACAATAAGAACATTTCAGAACATGCATATCTCTGCTTCAGCCTGTTAGCCCTTTTTA